TACACTATCACAATAATGGATGAAAAAAACAATACTTTGAGCACATCATAAGCAATAATGATCCACTAACCTTCAGCTTCCTCAGGTGGAAGTTCATTGTCTTACTGACTATTTGAGAATGAAACTTGCTGTTAGTTTTTTCTTTGAATTTGGTGGTAAGTACAGTACACATCTGTTATGAAGTACTCCCAAAGAACTCCCTTTAATTTTGTGAGAAAATTACCAAAAACTCAAGTATTTAACGATAATTCTGTTTTCCAACAAAATGTTATTCTGGTGATATGGTGAACAGTTCTTAGTATTGTACATTATGTCTTCGAAGAAGGTTCACAGTTTCAAAATGATCTTCAAATATTAATTAATAGATCTAATATGTTTAATTAATTATTTTCATCACTTTGTGTGAATATTATTATTCGGTGACGAATATTTTTTCCTGTGAATATTTCTTGTGATTAGAAAATGCAAGACACTTTTATATTGTTGCACATGTCAGCACACTGTCCTTAAGTTACAGACAAACAATAAAGAATCACTACATCCCAACCTTTTCTAACCATCTTTTATATTTTAAAGGTGGTGCGCTGTACTGAACCTTTCCATCACCCTGCCAAGAAAATAAAGGGGAATTACAGTATTGTATGATGAAATCTCTGAATAAAATTATTTAAATCTAGTGTCACAAATACAGTACACACACTAATTAATTTTCTCACTTATATCTGAACATTTATAAAACTGCAAACTTGGAGGAATAACCAAGGATCTAGAATATGGGTGTTGGGACACCTGAAAAGTAAATTAGTATATATCTGGACAAATATACTGTACATGGTTGAGGAGAACATAAAAGAATTAAAGAGACCTGACAATACAATACAATACAACTTCAATAATTTTGGAAACCAAAAAGTAAAATTTTAATTTAGGTCCTTTAGAAGATAGCCAATCATCACCACCATCTCATAACTCAGAGGTCATTTCTCACAACCTCAGCCCATGTCATTCTTGGACTACCTTATATCTTTGTGTACAAGATGATGATGTAATAAAGTATTCTGCCACTGAGTTGTGCTATAATATCATTTGGAAGACTTTCTACCTCAGGTATGCTACAAAAACTGAATTAGTACATAAAATTATACAGTATATTGAGAGACACTGAAGTCCAGATAATGTAAACTGAAGGACACGGGTCAACATCTTAGATAACCTACCTTAATTGCTTAAAAATTTGTATTATTATATGTTTGGGGGACTTTATTTTTTCATAGGAATGTATCACCCTTTATATAATTGGTAGTCAATGGGGAAAAGGGGCTTTGATTTACGAAAATTTGATTTATGAAAGGTTTTTCAGGAATAAATGTATCTATTTCATAAATCTAAGTAGTATCATAGCCTGTTAACTATAGGTTCTGTCGAAGTTAACTAGGCTGGAACGTTTATATTTTATTGGGTATTAGTAGCAAAACCCAAGTTGTATGTTATCCATTTATTCAGGAACAACTTAGACAATTCCAAAGTGTAAATCAACCGTAACTTATCACTGTAACTATGAGTGTTAAGAGAAGGACGGAGGTTATGTAAATAGACCTGCTTAAAGACGTCCTTTCTATGTGAGGCGTTGAGGGAGAGTGAGGCCTCAGGGCATCAGTGCCCCAATCGCCAAGCCCTTTCAATGCTGTAACCGCCATCCGGGCGGTTAAAGGATTAATCAGACTTTTCACGTTAAACTCGAACATTATAATTCGGGCAAACCTGTTGAATACAATTCATTTTAGTATTTCAAATAAATCATACATAGGCACTCCTACATAAATGTTTAATCCAATATATATTTACATAACAATCATAGCTATGTAATTAGTCTAATCTTAACACTTACAATGAGTACTTAAGTTGCCATATTTCTATATTGTCACAATGATAAATGATGCAATGGACACAGTCTACCTGTGTACACAATAAGTACTAGTTAAACTTACGTGTTGAAAGTCTAGAGAGAAACCAGGTTAGGTGTTGCTTCTAGGGTATGGGTAGCTAAAATGCCAGCCCGATCGCCTTGCCCACCCTGGCTGGTCGGCGAGGGGCCGAGTCAGGTGATTATAATTACCGTATATACACGTCTATAACCCCCCCCCCTCGTTTATAGGTCGACCCTGATTTTTTTACCAAGAAATCGTTAATTTATGATATTCCTCGTTTATAGGTCGACCCAAGTTTTTGAGGGTAATGGAACAACAAAACCTTCAGTAAAAACACTGAAACACAGAGTGCCGAAGGCAAATTGTTTACCATTTATTATTACGACACTTTACACTGAAACGCAGGTAGTTTCAACAAAAATATTGTATATCTCCATTCAAGTATTTATTCAAGTCAATTAAGAGGGAATATTATTGTAATACAACAGTTTTTTTAACTGAAAACCATTCGAAAAGCGATAACAGTAACATCTTTTGAACGAAAGAAAGCGAGTCATTGTTTTCGTCACGATTTTATCCCACTTTCTACTGTAATACGTACATCATTCCAGCAAAAATATTACATTTCCGTGAATGTATTATATCAAGCACAGTATGAATAGAATATCATTGTAATATAACAGTATTTTAACTGAAAACTATTAAAAAAACGAGTAACATCTCAAGAACATCGGAAGCTTAGGTAAAGTCTTTTGTTTTTGTCATGTATTTTATCCTATTTTACATTAAAATACATCACGTTTCAGCAAAACTACTATTTATTTCCAAGAATATATTCATTCAGGCACAGTTTAGGTAACATATACATGTGATGTAACAGTTTTTTAACTGAAAACGATTCGAAAAACACGTACCCTCTAGCCCTGTTCAAGGAGAGGACTGGGAGTGGCTGTTTTGTTGCTGATGACAAGGAAAATGATTTTCATGGGTTTTAATGAAAATATTCAGGAATATGGTATCGTAGTATTTATTCAAGTCAATTAGGATAGAATATTATTGTAATACAACAGTTTTCTAACTGAAAACCATTCGAAAAGCAATTACAGTAACATCTTTTAAACGAAAGAAAGCGAAAGTCATTGTTTTCATCACGATTTTATCCCACTTTCCACTGTAATACGTACGTCATTTCAGCAAAAATATTTCATTTCCGTGAATGCATTATATCAAGCACAGTATGAATAGAATATCATTGTAATATAACAGTATTTTAACCGAAAACTATTAAAAAAAAGAGTAACCTTTCTTGAACATCGGAAGGTTGGGTAAAATCTTTTGTTTTCGTCATGTATTTTATCCTATTTTACATTAAAATACATCACGTTTCAGCAAAACTACTATTTATTTCGGAGAATATATTCATTCAGGCACAGTTTAGGTTAAATATACATGTGATGTAACAGTTTTTTAACTGAATACGATTCGAAAATCACATGTACCGTCTAGCTGATACACAATAGTTGGTGGCGCGTCATGCATCGTTGTAAACAATAGGAAGTTGAAGTGGATTACCGGGTATTATATTAAGTGTGAAATATCGAAAAGGTTTTTATTACCAGTATTTTTTGTAGATCAATGAGTACTGTGATACCATATATGATAGATATAAGAACAGCACCATCCCATCTATTGTTAAAATAATAAACAAATCCTGATTTATGTACTGTACAGCCCTGTAAATGTATTCACTGCATATTATATCATTATGTCTAAATCAAATGTAAGTCTGTATATTTTCAGCCACCGGCTGCAACTCTATCAATAAACCTTTATTATTATTATTATTATTATTATTAAGTTAGACTGTGCTAAGAACTTCAACATAGACTACTGAAAACACGTTGTAAGGTAATTTAGCCTATTGTAAGTTGGTGAGCTTCATCTGCTGAAAGAACTGCACAACTTGTCATTACTAATTGGTACATATTTTACATTTCCATTGTTTACTGACAGTAGATGGTAAATATTTTTCATGTCTGAAGCTAAAAGTTGCTCCTCGCCCTTCCCATCAGGCACGGGTTCAACCTAACAAAACTATTACACATGTAGAGGCCGACCCCCAATTTTTTGCCTAAAAATTTGGTCTTAAAAACTCGAACTACACACGAGTATATACGATATACATAAACAAGCTGCCCTTACACACTCCAACCTCCTCTGGGCCTCTCACCTCCACCATCTCAATACTCTATATACAGTGGGGTATGCTATAACGAACGTAATTGGTTCCAGAACCTCGTTCGTTATAGCATTCGTTCGTTATAGGATTAATCCGTTCCAGGCCCCCAAATACCACTACTTAACACTGGAAAAATTCTGTGGAAAATGTAAAAAATACGGTACTTTATCTTACCTTAGTGTTATTCAGCATGCAGGTACCCCTAAACACTGGCACATCACTATCACTTCCACTGGGAGTCTTGGCTTTAAGGTCCTCAAACAATTGTCTGGCCTTCTCACAAATTATAGCTTCACTAATGTTACCACCTGCCATTTCTTTCTCCTTTATCCACACTAAGAGTAAATTTTCCATCTCTTCAATCACATTACACTTTGCTTTGCTAAGTCTAAAGATTCCCTTAGCCACTTGCACAGTTTTTAACTCCTCTTTATTCTTCAAAATCGTACATATAGTCGATTTAGCCATCCCATATTCATCACTAAGTTTTGCAATGCTTCTTCCATTCTCACGTTTCTTTATAATTTCTTTCTTAGTTTCAAGGGTTATTAGCTTTCTCACTCGCTTTGGACGACTCATTGTTACAATTGTATACTTGTATAACAAAATAGTTATACAAATAACGCAAATTTCCACATCAAAAGACGAAATTTCAACAATAACAGTGGTGCACTGGCTACACAATGAGACAAAGATGGCACCTGACGCTCTTGTTGTGGGTCGCGGTACAACAATATTCATGCGCCAGGCGAAATAGTCCCGTATTCATCCGCGTTCGTTGTAGGAGTTGCGTTCGTTATAGCATTCTCAATTTTATAGGTAAAACCGTTCGTTATAGGAATATTCGTAGTAGGATCCGTTCGTTATAGCATACCCCACTGTACTGTATATGGGCAGGCACACCCAATAAACATGACTAGACTTACAACAAGCATAATTTTGTCACAGGTCGCAGCATTGTGGACGTCGTCGTCTTAACCACTGCCTGTCGTACAAGTCCATCCTCGCCAGCCTTGACTTCCATCACTCGACCAAGGTGCCATTTGTTGCGTGGACTATTTGCGTCTGCTATAATGATTAGGTCACCAGGGCAAAGTTGCGCCGTGGTCTGAAATGCACTTGTCGAGTTCTGAGTTGAGGGAGGTACTCCGTCAGCCAGCGCTTCCAAAATTGATCTGCAAGGTACTGGACATACTTCCACCTTCTGTGGTATGATTCGCCTATTGACCTTCCACGTAAGGGAAGATTACCCTTTCAACTTAAGAGCAAAAGATCAGCAGGAGTGAGAGCCTTTGGTTCATTTGGAGTATTTGGAACCAGGGTGATTGGCCTCTCGTTAACTATGGCTTCCACTTCACAGAACAGTGTTTGCAGACATTCATCGTCTAAAACTTGTGAGCCCATAATCGCCTGCAGAACCTTCTTTACTGTGCAAATCTGCCTTTCCCATACTCCCCCCATGTATGGGGCAGCTGGTGGATTGAAGACCCAGTCAATATCTGCTTTCAGTAAGGCACCTCTGAGTCTGTCATCTTGCTCCCAACTTTTCACAGCCAATTTGAGCTCTTTGGCTGCCCGTACCATGTTTGTCCCATTATCTGACCTAATACGCTCTGGTGTACCTCTGCGTCGTGAGAACCTTGATATTGCATTGAGGAAAGCATCTGCGTCTAATGAGGCCAAGACTTCTAGAGGAACAGCCCTAATAGTTAGACATGTAAACAGACATCCCCAGCGCTTGACCTGTTTCCTCCCTACCTTGATAATGAAGGGACCAAAACAGTCCGTTCCAGTGTAAGCAAATGGTGCCTTTCCAGGCGTGACACGATCTATTGGTAAGTCAGCTTGCTTTTGATGCCGACTTCTCCAATTGTTCCGTCGGCACACTACACAGCGTCGTATGATTCTATCAAGCAAGCGTCTGCCCTGGGGAATCCAATACCTTTGCCTCACAAACGCCATCGTGTATTCTCGTCCAGCATGTCCGGCTCTCTCTTCGTGCATCGCCCGCACTATGATTTCAGTGATGTGGTGGTCTCTAGGCAGCAAGATTGGCTCCTCGCCACTTCGCCCAAGAAGGGTTCCTTTAATTCTTCCCTTTGATCTGAGCAACGTTCGCTCGTCCAAGTAAGGTTCCAGTTTATATAGCTTATTGCCCTTCGGCAGCTCACCCTTTATGACAGTTTGGATTTCTTTCTCATAAGCCTCTTTCTGCACCAATCTTATAATTGTCTGCTCAGCCGACTGTAGTTCCTCGGTGCTTAGCCTCTTCAGTTTGAGGCGCAGGTCTGCAGTCCTTATACTGGATCCGAGCCACCAAATGAACCTTTTAATCCATGCCACCCCTTTCACCAAGCGGTACCATGATGAGTACCTGAGCCGCAGTTTGGCGAGGGACCATTTTGAATGCTCGCTCACTGCCAGAGCAACTACAGATCTCTGGTGTACTTCTCCTTTCACCTCCAGTAAGTCGTTCAGAACTGCTGGCAGTTCCTTTCCCTTTGGCCACCGTTCTTCAACACTGAGTAGAAAGTCAGCACCTCGTATCCACCGAGATTCTGCAACCAGGTCCAGGACAGGTAATCCCCTAGTTGCATCATCTGCTGGATTCAGCGATGTGCCGACATGTCTCCACTGGTCAGTTCTTAATAGCTCTTGTATGACTGCTATCCTGTTGGCTACAAACGTCTGAAATCATCTGCTCGAATTGGCAGTGTACTGCAAAACTAGCATGCTATCCGTCCAAAAATAAGATTCGTGTATGGTCATGGTCGTTTCTCGGCGAATCGTTCGATCAGCGTTCACTGCCAAGACAGCTGCACAAAGTTCCAGTCTTGGTATTGTCAGTTGCTTGAGTGGGGCCAGCTTGGCCCGTCCGTACACGAAAGAGCACTGGATACTTCCGCTAGAGTCTACCATTCTCAGATAAGTCACTGCACCGTAAGCAACCTGCGATGCATCGCAGAATGTGTGCAACTGTGCTGAGATGATTTCTTGAGCGCATGCTGTTTTTAGGCATCTGGGTACGCTTAATTTCCCTAGGTGGGCCAGTTCTCCTAGCCAGGTGCTCCAGGTCGTGTGATTAACAGCCGACAAAGGTTCATCCCACCCTAATCGAAGCCTGCATTCACACTGAAATAATATTATAACCCTGATGATGAATGGTGCCACGAACCCCGGTGGGTCATAAATAGAACTGACCAGGCTTAGTACTCCCCTCCTGGTCGCTGGCCTTGAGTTTGGTTGCACCTTGATGGCGAGCTGATCACCTTCCAGGAGCCACCTAACCCCCAGGGCTCGCTCCATTGGCAATTTGTCTTGCCTCAGATCAATTTCCTTCAGTGCATTTTGCCTCTCCTCCGGTGGGATGGTAGCCAACACTCCTTTGTGATTACTGGCCCACTTAGTTAACCGAAATCCTCCACACGCCAACAGTCTTCTAAGCTGACACGCTAACATTGATGCTTCATTTGATGAGTCCAGCGACATGAGTAGGTCGTCAAAGTAGAAGTTGACTTCCACTTGCGCCACCATGTCGGGAAACTCGGATCTGTGGTCTTGAAATGTGCGCCGGAGAGCTTAAGTTGCACATGAAGGGCTCCACACCCCACCAAAGATGTGCACCTTTGTTACCACAAGCAGTAATGAGAAGGATGACACAAACATTTTGTTAGGCTCTAAGTCATGTCACGTTTATTGGGTGTGCCTACCTGTATACAATATATAGAGTGTTGAGATGGTTGAAGATGAGAGACCCAGAGGAGGTGAGGTGTTGGGCGGTAGTAAGGGAGCTTGTTTGTGTATAATCACCTGACTAAGACTTTGCCCATCGAGAGAGGGTTGGGGAGGCGACAGCAGGGTATCGGCACTGTAGCTATTCAGACGACAGAGGCAACACCTTACCTGGTTTCTCTTGAGACTTTCAACATGTAAGTTTAACTGGTACTTATTGTGTACACAGGTAGACGTGTCCATTGCATCGTTTATCATTGTGACAACATAAAATATGGCAAATTAAGTACTCATTGTAAGTGTTAAGATTAGACTAATTACATAGCTATGATTGTCATGTATGATTTAGTTTAAATACTAAAATGAATTGTATTCTATACTAAAATGAATTGTATTCAACAGGTTTGATCGAATTACAATATTCGAGTTTGATGTCACAAGTCTGATTATCCTTTAACCGCCTGACTGGCGGTTATAACCTTCATCCTGTAAATTACTGGCTCTCTACTCAGGTCCCCATTCTCCCACCAGAGGAATCTTAACGCATCTCGATGTTCTGGCGGTACATGGATTTGATGGTACATAGCCTCCACATCTGCCATGCTGGCTGTAGTTCCTTGGCGAAATCTAAACAGGATTCCAAGTAATTTGTTGTTGAAGTCTGGACCTTGTAGTACCTGGTCGTTCAGTGATGTCCTTTTATGTTTGGCTGCACAGTCAAAAACTGTGCGTACTTTGTTTGGCTTATTTGGGTTCAACACCGGGTGATGAGGCAGATACTGTACCAGACCAGTCCAGTATCTGACTCCAACTGGAACTTAGGCACTGATTCAGCATATCCTTCAGCAGCAGTTTATTTATTTCCTCTATGTATCCTTGTCGCAGCCGTGCGTCCTTGGATAGTCTCCTTCGAAGCCCATCTAGTCGACGCTCCGCCATGGCCTTGTTGTTTGGGAGTTCCGGGTTCTCATTACGGAACGGTATGGGAAATTGGTAATGCCCATTAGTTTTGATGCCTGTCTCTGACCATAGCCTCAACACTCTTTTGTCCACAAGTGAATGAGCTGCTGACTGCAAGGCTCCTGTGTCCCCACTTTCCAGCTCCCAAAAAAGCTTAACTTGTCTTTCCAGACGGGTTTCAGGACTCACGACAGTTTCGGTCATCAGGCATCCTAACATGCAAACTCCTTGTGCATCTTGGTGCCCCACCGGTCCATTCACTGTCCAACCCAGTCGCGTTTGTATGGCGAATGGCATTCCATCCCTTCTTGCTCTGACCTCCAAGGGTACCAGGGCCTGTGGCACATCTTGTCCTATCAGAATTTCTATGCTGCTTGCTCTGCAATTCTGGTAATTCCACACCTCGCAGATGGGCCCACCTTGAGATATCACTTGTGTTCGCTACTTAGTTGTGCAGCATTGTGGGGAAATTTTGTATATGCAGCATTGTGGGGAAATTTTGTATAACGAGTACTTTCGGGATAAGTATGGTTCTGCCTCGTTTCATGCCTGCGCCAACCACTTCTAGATCTACCTCCGCTGACTCGAGTATCGTCTCTTGGGCAAGTGTACCCATGGTTACCAGGGTAGGTGTCCCTTTCACCCTTAGTTTCTGTGCCAGATCTTTGGTGCAATATGACCTGTTGCTGCCTGAGTCCAAGAGAGCTAAAGTTCTGATGTGATTTCGTTGGTGTGAGTCCTTTCCCCGAATCTTCACACTCACTATGGGCAGTATAATCTTGGCATTTTTCGTCGATAGTCAGATGTCGCTTTCGCAGCTGTATGGGTTTTCATAGCCGTCCTTTGTCCATGTAGCATAGACATGGCCTATTTTTCCGGCCATGTACGAACTGTCGTTGGCTTTCTGGGCCATGCCAGCATCAGAGGTGCCTGCCATTGACTCCTTTTTCACAAGACCTTGAAAATTTCGCTTCACGCCACCCTTGCTTGTGTTTGACATACTTGCAGTGAGTGCCTCCCTTCGTTCTTGATGCAACATTCTAGAATGCTTCTCTTTGCACCCATCAGTGCCACACCTGTAGCGTGACCAACACTGACCAACAAGGTGGCTCACTCTCAGACACAAGAAACAGCAACGTAATCCTTTTACCGTCTCTAACCTCTCCCTCACTGACATGCTCCGGAATTCGTCGCACCCTGCTAATCCATGTGCTCTGGAACACAGTGGGCACGAGCCTTTTCCAGAGCTTGTTTCCCCTCCATTGCCTTTCGCTTCACTGATAGTCACTAGGCCCACGGCACGTTTGCTTGACGATGATCCTTCTGGTCTTTTCTTACTTCCTTCTTGACTGTCCTCGCTTGATAGCAGAGCCATGTCATCCATCGTCACCGCTTTCTCCAAATATAGCGCTAACCACTTCACCAGCCCCGTTCTGTGTCCTGTCGACTTCTGATAATTCCGTACATCATCCACACAGCGTTCCCTCAATTTGGGGGGAAGCTTAACCACCAGCGTTCTGAAGGTCTTCCTTGTTTCAAGTTCAGACATCAAGTTCAGATTCTCCAGATGGCTTACTGCACCCCATAGTTGAGATGCCAGTTTTCGCAGCCCTTCGTCGTCGAACGCCCCGACTGAGCGAGCATCTATGAGCCTTTTCACCAGCTGGTCCGCATATGCATACTTATCTCCAAACCTTGTCTCCAGGATCTTGATTGCCTTGTTGTAGGCTTGGTCTGGCTCTAGACAGTCGCATCCCATGATTGCTTGATGTAACTCTTCTCCTTCACAAGCATCCATGAGCAGTTGGTACTTGTACTTCTCTGGCACGGCCGCATTTGTCATGTATTGACGTAGGGCATGCATAAAGGTCCAAAACTCCGCCCGACCTTGTCCTTTAAACTTGGGAAGGGTGGCTTGCTGCATACGCATCATAGCCACTAACTCTCTTATTTCTTCACCCTTCCCTGATTCTCCCTGTGGATGCATAATTGTGATTTGAGGCACTTTGTTTGCAAGCATTAGCAGTAAAGATGATGGCATTATCCATTTATTCAGGAACAACTAAGACAATTCCAAAGTGTAAATCAACCATAACTTATCACTGTAACTGTGAGTGTTAAGAGAAGGACAGAGGCTATGTAAATAGACCTGCTTAAAGACATCCTTTCCATGCGAGGCGTAGAGGGAGAGTGAGGCCTCAGGGCGTCAGTGCCCCGATTGCCCGGCCCTTTCAATGCTGACCTAAGCTGTCTCTGGCCATACCTTATAAGGAAGGGTGCCAACCAGATGCCATCAAGATGCCTCCTCATAGCCAGTGGAAAGTTACAGGGGATGATTATATATATAAATCAATATGTAATTAACCCATTTATAAAATCTTTCTGTTGATGAAACAGGGGCCATTACAGTAGTGTACAGTAATACCCCGCTTTACTCGGTTTCACTTTACGCGATTCTACATTTACGCGGTACCTCGCCAGGATCGGACTTTCACTTTACGCGATCCATCTACCCACATACGCGAAGAGTGTCTGGCGCGACGCTATTTTTAGATTCGACCCTCCCGCCTGGGCAAGCCGCGCGGTAAGGTTGCGCAGTGGATGTCTCTGTTGTGTTATCGGTGACATCATATGACATATCGGACTGTGATTGGGCCATGCATCCTTACCTCCCTCCACTGCTAGCTGTGATTGGTTTAAAGTAATATGACGTGTCCACCCGCGGGAGGGAGGAAAGACGACGCTTGACCTAGCCGCGTCAGTTGCATCCCTCCAGGCCACACCGTGTAAACCAGTATCCATTGTTCTGTAAAATGGCTTCCGCCGGACCACCGCCCCCAGAGAGAAACCTTGCATTACCTGGACCCAGCCGCCCTAAGCCAAAGAAGATACGACATTCCCTAAGCTACGAAGAGAAATACAAGATCCTTCAAGAGTTGGAGAAAGGAACACGTCAAGCTGATCTCGCGCGCCAGCATGGAGTCAACGAATCTACGATTCGTACTATTAAGAAGGATGCAGCCAAGATCAAAGAACATGAGAATCACAAAGTCTGCAGGTGCTTCAATGATCAAGTATTGCCAGAACAAGGTGCTGCTAAAGGTTGAAAATTTGCTGGCAAGTTACTTGATTCGTCAGGCGCGACGCAACATGACGGTGGACACGCGATCCATTCAAGAGTACGCCCGTGAACTGTACACAGCAGTGTCACGTAAGATGGGAATTGCAGAGCCCAAACCCTTCAATGCTTCCTCTGGTTGGCTGCATAGGTTTAAGAAGAGGAACAAGATCACTAACATCAACATTGGTGGTGAAGAAGTGAGTGCTGACTGTGTGGCGGCTAGAGATTTTCCTCCGTTCTTACGTGAGGTTATGGAGGAAGGACAGTACACCGATGACCAGGTGTTCAACTTGGACGAATCCGGTCTATTTTGGAAAAAGCTGCCTACCAAGAACTTCGTTGTCCAGTCTGCCAGCAAGATTCGGGGCCGGAAGTTGCAGAAGGAGCGCATCACCGTCCTCTTTACCACCAATGCCTCCGGTACCTGTAAACTCAAGTTTTCGGTGATCCACACAGCCCGCAAGCCTACAAGAACGTGGACATGAGCAAGATTTATGTCCACTGGCAGACCTCACGTAAGGCGTGGATGTTCTCTGCTCTGTCACTCTCCTGGTTTGATGACTGTTTCGTTCTCGACGTGAAGAAATTCTGCGAGCAAGAGAATGTTCCATTCAACATTCTGTTGCTCCTTTATAACGCACCAGGACACTCGCCACTACTTATGGATTGTCACCCCAACGTAAAAGTGGTCTTCCTTCCTCCCAACACTACGACATTAATCCAGCCCATGGACCAGGAGTTGATATGCAATGTGAAAGCTGCATACTCTGCAAAGAAGTTTAAGCTCCTGAACGACTGTACCAACACCAAGGATGAGTTGCGTAAGCTGGGTGACACCGACAGCGAGAGCAAAAGCGACGAGGACAAGGAACAACAGGTGGTGACTCAAGAAGTTCTCGTCAAACAATTTTGGAAAGAATTTAACGTCAAACAAGCTGTGGACTTCTAGGTGGAGGCATGGGATCAGCTGTCTGTAGCTACGATTCGTCATGCATGGAGGCATATGTTGCATGGTATCCCAGGTGAGAGGAGGAGTCAACCTGTGACTAGTGAGGTTCAGTCTGTTACAGTGGCATTAGACCTTGCAAGAGAAACTGCGCACAGTATTACAGCTGAAGGCTTCTCCGAGACCACCAACAAAGACATCCTGGAGGTGATCAGAGATCCTGAAATGACTGCTGACGAGATGTTGGAAGATGATCAGGTCAGTGAAGAGGCAGGTGGTGCGTCAACCCCAGAAGAACACAAGTTAACGCATAGTAATGTTAAGGGTGCCATCGAGTGTGCAGAGAAACTGAAGCTCATCCTTTCCAACGACCATGACGATGAACGCTATGAAGTCTTCCATATCCGGCTGGTGCAGGCTATGGAGCCGTACATCAAGGTGTATCAAGACAACATCAACACTAGCCGTCAAAAAAGCATTACCAAGTTCTTCGCCCGCAACCCACCACAGCCAGCCCGAGCCAGTGACAGTGAAGGTGACTGAGGGATTTGTCAGGGAAGCCCTGACAACTATGGTGGATAGTGATGGTGATTCACCCGAGAGCCAGTAATCTGCCCTCTGCCTCGGAACCAGCCTCCATCCCCGTATGCCGACCCATCTCTTCTACTAAGGTAAGTGTTAAACTTAACCTTTATTTTTCCTCACCTAACCTTTATTTTTCCTAACCTAACCTCTTCTATATTATGTGTGTGTGCATACCATCATAAAGTTAAGATAATATTTTTACTACAACATAGTTTTGTGTCGTCAAAAAGTGGAGTTTGGGGGTCGGGCCAGTCTCTATTGGAATTAATCCCATATGTTCTGTTGTTCACTTTACGCGGTTTTCACTTTCCGCGGTACCCCATGGGTTCAATTGACCGCGTAAATCAGGGTACTACTGTACTTCTGTATTTCGGTAACTGGACTTCTTAAACTATATTAACTGTGAAAGAAACCTGAGAGAATAACCAAAAAGGGAAACTAAATAAATAAAAAGTGAAGAACTTACTTGGCGATAACCTGCTGAACTAATTGAGGGGATGACGTTCTGTGTGACGGAGTACACGGATGGGGGGTTGGGGTTTATTTTATTACTATAGGCTTCTCCCCATGGTTCATTCTTCTGTATCTGCATGGTGACTTCAGCAGACTGTGGCTTCTTCTGTAGCTCTTTCATTATATTAAACTTATTCTCTGCTTCCGACAACAACTATGAGGGAGACACAAAACATATATTATGGTTGATAAACTGATCATTGATTTTTATTATTATTATTAGCAGGGATTATTCAGTTGATTATTATTAGCAGGCATTATATAGTGGGCTGATATAAGTGTGTAAAGTGGTGTCTGAATACTCAGCGATGGATTTAGTGGCAGCAGGGGGCTTAGAAAGGTTAAGTGTGGTCAATGTTTTCAGCGTTAACAGTTGGTTACTCACGCAGGCAACAGTCATAGTAAAAAGTCAAACATCAACTACATGAAGCATTAACTTTGTAACATATATATACACTTTTAAACTACAGTGTATAAGATACTAAGGTACTTGTAAGATAAACAATCACTATTTACATGATTAGCACTGGTAGAGCCTTTCTTCTCATGGTGGTCCTTAAGACACTTGAAGAGCAGAGAGATGACGTCCATTGCCAGTTCTGCATCAGCTTTACACTTCACAGAGCAGTCAGCCTAGAAACAGAAGCCATTTAATAAGTTGATTAGAAATGACAAACTAAAACTACAGTATCTATCTACGGTAAAATATCCAAAATTCATAATCCTGTATTAGCCCGTCAAACAGACAGTAATACTTATATAAATGTGAGTTATACAGTATACATTAGGTTCATATAATTACATCACCTACAGTAACTTTCCTATGAGCTATGACGAGTAGTCATCCATTGAACATGTGACAATATATTTCCACTAAACTCTCGACTGCGGAGTCATGAATAAAGTAGGCGGCCACTGGCCAGTCTGTTCCTGTCTCTCGCGCCCCCTAGACGTGTGACCACGAAGCTAATTACATACATATTTCATCCATTATTCACGCTCCCAGCTCATAGCGTTAATTACGGTGATATCCTTGTAATTGTGCAAAATTTATTTTGTGAATAAATGGACAAAAGACCATTTGGGTTTAAAAACTTTACCCATAAACATTTATGAATGTTGCTTCAGCTCACCTATAATTAGTGATTCCACAGGTAACCGGAAACTGTAACAATCCCACAATGCATAATTTGCCTTGTTTCGGATATTTTCAGCAATATAAAAATGATATCCCCATACAACTGTTAGATAGGGTGGAATCAAAGGCATTTCGTCTTATTAACTATCCTCCTTTAGTTGATAATCTTTCTTACCTTTCTCTTTGCCGCAAAGTTGCTTCACACTCTCTCTCTTTAACAGGTACTTTAATGGGCAATGTTCGGTGGATTTGGCATCCTGTGTACCACCGGCAAGGCCGTGGGCTCGTAACACACGTCTTGCCAGTGGTACCTACCGTTTCTCTGTGGATGCTGGTCACACTAGAATAACCCAAACTGTGGAATGCTCTGCCTTCTTCTGTGTTTCCATACTCAAACTATCTGTCTCACTTCAAAAAGCTGGTTTTCTGGCATCTTTGTGGTGTAGATTAATATAATCTTTTTCTTTTCTATTTTTAATTTCTTTTTACTCTTATTTTTTTGCCCTATGGGCCCCATTGTGGGTCGATGACCTGTGCCCGGGTGGGCTATTTCCTGTAAAAAAAAAAAAAAGTGCACAGTTGTTCCAGAATGAGAAATCCAGGTAAGGAGACGAATTTTCTCTTTCCCAGAAAAAATCGCACATCCCAGAATTTTTACGGTACTGGGGAAAGTTTTCCAAGAGTAGAAACTACGCCTCTTGCAAGGACAGACACAGATCTGTTCTTATTTATCCAAACACCACTGTACATGTACAATATAAAGGTATTGTAATTAAACAAAATACTACTGTATACTGTACACTATACTGTACTCACCAGCAGATGCTGCCATCTTGAGCTTGTAAATGCAAGCACACCAAATGGTATGACCTCCTACAGCTGTAAGATATTACTACCATTGGACACAATATATTACTTGTAATATAAACACAAGACACTAGTAAAACATTCACAACAAATGTATTTACAGTATAGTCTCGATTTACACGGATTTCCTTTACGCGGCACCTGGTCAGACCGGCAATTATTAGTTACACAGTACATTCCGTCATTTAAGCGGGAAGCGGCGCAGGCAGGGTGTGCGCTAGGTCGCCCGGTCAACAAAACATTACCGAGCTCTTCACCCGCCACCCACCACAGCCGGCCCAAGTCAGTGATAGTGAGGATATGGACTTTGAGGGGTTTGACAAAGAGGCCCTGCAATCCTCAGTGGTGGATAGTGATACAGGTGAGGGACAATAATCTGCCCTCTGCCTCGGAACCAACCCCCCATCCCCATGTGCCCAGCCATCTCTAATATTATTGATATTTCTCTTAAATATTAATTGTGTGTGCATACCATCATAAAATTAAGATGTTATTTTTACTACAACGTACGTATTGTGTCGGAAAAAGGGTAGTCTGGGGGTCGGCCCAATCTTTATTTCAATTAATCCCATATTTCATTTATGCGTTTCTCGTTTTACGCGGACCTCCACGGGTTTAATTGACCGCGTAAACCGAGACCATACTGTATAACATATATGTAGGAATAAAACATATTACAGGTTATTTTGTAATTTTATCTATTCTGTTCAGGACAGTGTTATCAGATATTTTGTCTCAAACACAAACCGTAGGTGAATACTTATTCTTGTGGCCGATTGAACATGTGGTACTTTCACACTTACTGAATTTACAATACAGCCTATATATAACTTTTTACGTCTTAACACTGCTTTAGCACTGTATTCTTGGCTGATTGTCTCCTGTTACAGTAATACTGCACTGCACAACACAAATTGTATGCAAAAACAGTAGTGAGCGAGGGAACAATGGCAGCAGAATACTGTATACATGTATGGCACTAAGCGTTCAAGCCTACGACCTAAGCAGCTAGCCCACCCACAACAAGAGGATGCGACAAACCATGATGCACTCTTTTGTAACTGCCAAAAAATTACCATAGTTCCCATGCCCGGAATTGAGATATTTCCCGGAATTTCTTGAAAGGCTAAAATATTCATTCCGGCTATTGGAGTGTTCCGGGAATCAAATATTTCAGCTAACAGGGAGATTACTGTATACAATACCGTCTTTGATATTGTTCCAAATTATAACAAGGACACTGGATTAGGCGCATAGAGAGGATACAGTGTGAAGGGAATTCCTTAAATATCCTCACATAAGCACCTCACCCACTAAACACCTTTAGCATAGGCCATAACACATTTGAATTATTAATATTTATAAAGAATCATAAACAGTAAAGACTGTGAGTTAACTAAATGCAGTTCCAGATACAGCTGGGAGCACACATCCAGAGTGCAAATGCAGGTAAGTTCCTTAAATATAATTTTAACACTATGTACTCAGCAGTAACTGTGTAACATACCAGCCTCTTGATGAGTACACCAGTTGCTCCATGTGAGAGGCTTTCCTTGGTAGAAATAGATGGAGCAGGTGGGATCTGAGGTCTTGCTGGTGGTGGATTAACAGGAGAACTGCGTCGGCAATAAGGTTTGGGAGGATATGGGTCTGCATCGCCCCTCAGGCTATGGAAAGAAATATTTCTTAGTAACACATAAAGTAACAAGTTATAATTGTTGATCACTCTTGGGTAATTAACCCTTTTCAAGCTGAGAGAAGCCCCTACCACTCAATGAGTTAATGAAGAAATTCATTATGATCAAAGACTTGTCAATATTGTGACACAAGTGGGGATAAAAGTTCATAGAGGGTAGAGAAAGAACTTGAGCCATCAGTGGAATAACTAATCCCTGAACTGTGACCTTGATTGACTAGTATACAGTATTGTAATTTCCCTGTACAGTACTATACATGCTGTGGGAACTTAAAATAGATGTACAGTCCCCCAAAATTATCGTTAGTCATTGGAGTAGATGTGATTCTTGGTTTTTCGAGCAATATTATTTGACCTGTGTCTGAACAGTTGGTAGTTCTACATCCATGACCATTGAGCATGAATGAGTATATACATTATTAAACGATGTGACTCCCCCGAGGCTTCAGATCATACATTACAGGACTGAGTGGATGTCGTAAATGGATACCAATGCCATGCCAGTCAACAATGGGATCTTACATCGAATGGAGCAAGGAATTACCTGGGAGACATCACAAGATGTTAGAGGTGCTATTATTGCCCTTCAAAACAATGGTATAATGCTGAAATAGCACACAGAACTGGGGTGAGCAAACCCACAGTGTCATGATGGGTTAGGCACCATGGAACAATTGAAACTTATAACCACAAATGTCTTGTCTTAGTAAAGGTGGACGGGGGTTCCGTTGCCTGCAACTCCCGTGATTTGAAACCTTATTTTCGTGTTAAACCAATGCACTTTGCATATCAGTAACATGGCAGATCCCATGTAGACCGATAGTATATTGTATATTGCTGTAGCTGTTCACTCTTATCAAGTACTATTTGCCAAGTTACTCTTCATAAATCAGATATCATGAACAACATGAACAGGCACATTGTAAAACTCAGTATGAATGAACTCCATTAGTACAACATATTGGTGAAATGGTCTGTTTTGAGGTCTGTCTCAGTCTCAGTTGTGATGTTTCAAAACACTTCTATTTAATCTCTATTTCAGTGTTACTGTAACCATCAGTCAGTGGCTTGTTAACAAGTGCCTTGCTTCTACCCAGCACGATACATACATCAGTACAGTAAAGCTTAATGGATATCTTGTTATATTGAAGTATCTAGTATGCCATACAAGGACGACTCCCTCCCCCGATCCTACCCCATCACTAGCTGTTGCTGATATGGGGAGAAGGCATACCAACTTAAGATGATGCACTGGGGATCATACCAAAGTATTTCATCTAGCATTTCTAAGTGTAGTGATGGAATACTTTTTGGGGGACTGTACAATTCATTCAACATACACAGTAGTCTGTATATTACTCTTAGCACTGCATAATCTTTCATACAAAGCAAAACTTTTTAAATTAAACCCTAAGGGATGATATCATTAAACACTCAACAGCAGTTTCACAATGTTCACTATCAATGTTTTATGGTCATTTTCCATGCCTGTGTATGGTAATAAAGTTGTAGACTACAAAAGGCAAATTTTCAAAGTTCACAAAAAAAAAAAAAAAAAACACACACAAGGAAAACTACAGTACATTTAGAGGACAATTAAGACATAAGAAAACACCAAGTAAATCTGTCATACGTAAACTAACAAAAGGAAATTCCTACTGCAGGTGTTGCAACAAGGGAAAAACTCTTGGATGGGTTAAATTCTAACACCTGGAGAAGTAACAGCATTCGAACCGATGGGCACACAAAATCTTATTACTTTAAATATTACCAAGTTATAGTCCACAAATGCACACAATATAATCCCTATACAGCATACCATGACTTACATTAGGGATAAGGAAGTGGGAACAAAACTGGCAATTGTTCAGTATGTCAAGAGAAATAAATGTTTTTACTAACCGTCTTTGATAACGCGGACTGTGGATCCTCTCTGCTTTACCCCAACCTCCTGGAAACAACAAAAAAATCAATACTACACCACAGAGAATAGAACATTAGGATGTGTGCAAGGTCAACGCTGATGTTATAATGCCACAACAAGGTTAGTAATTACATTAGTTCAACAATAATTACAATTTATGAGATACACTATAGAAATCTGTTAAGAATATTAAACATGAATTCCATAAAAGTATTCAAAAGAGGGAATTTTATTCATATTCATGTACTGCATTGTAGAGTACACTAGTATCAGATGTAAAGTGAAATCAAATGATTCCAGTAAATAGAGACAGAAAGAGGTTCCAAAGTTAGTGCACAAAATCCTGTTAACCTCTCCTCACTACCTTTTTTCCAACCAAAATTGCTTTTCCATTTCAACTGTTTTTGTAATTAATTAGGCTAGTATTTTTTTTGCATTTTAGGAATTTATTCAATATAAAATATGACTTACCTAATAGATCATAGTATTATAGAAGAAAGAGTAACAAATAGATGGACTTTGTATAATGTTGATAGATATTCAAATAACATAATATGGTCATAAAAGTTGAGACCCTAAAAACATCTCATTTTTTTTTCTCAGAAGGTATGAGGAACAGGTAAGAGGAATGGTTTGTACTGTACTATGGTATACTACTAAAATACAACTACTACATGTACTTGACCTCTATAACAACACAGCAGTATATACTTTACCATGATCATAATGAGGCTCTTGATCATACTCAGCTCTTTGATCATACTCAGGCCTTTGACCATACTCAGGCCTTTGATCAAACTCAGGCCTTTGATCGTAATGAGGTCTTTGATCACGTGGCTCATAGTCATTCTGGTTTTGGTATCTGTCATAAGGATCTGCCCGCCATCCCCAGTGGTCACGATCATAATTCTCTCTGTTGTAATCCCTGTCAAGAGAAATGCAAAACCTATATTAATGAATGACTCTATGCAGTCTTAATAACAATAAATATAATCATCATCATCATCATCAACAACACGGTTTTATGGCCATTTTTCATGCTTGTGTGAGTCGGCTACGATTACCTGGTAGCATGGTGTAGCAGTTGCCATCAGCCAAATTGAAAACAAGTTTTATAACTAGATGCTCTTCCTATCACCAACCAAACTTTTTAGTGGGAACTGGGCACTGTGCTGTGTGCAAAACTTTCAAGTGCCCTCTCAGCTGACAAGGCAGGGTCACTACTCACCGACATAATCAAAGACTACCAGCCTACAGAGGAATTAATCTGGCTGATACTGCATAATTAATTCAATTTGACCATTCACAATGATGGCATTTAAAGGTGATTGATCCTGATGTCTGGTTTTACAGCTGACCACAGATTGGGAGACTCAAGTTATAGGCTAGTCCATGGGCATTGAAAAATGAGGATCTGGACTCCTGATGTGTGTGATTGCTGTTATTCAATTGACTAATCCAAATAATTAATCCAAAGAGTTCCCATCTGGTCTGAGCCTCCATAAGTATGGTAGAGAACATCTGTGCTTACTTATAAAACAAGATTTCAGGATTAATTCCCCATTAATAACCAAATGAAGAGTTTATGTTCCATGCATGAATTGTCTACACAAATAGATATACTGTACTAAAGACCTGTAATAGGAATTTAATTTATTTTCATAAAATCGAACAAAAAAAAATCCTAACATTAAGTTTTAAATCAGCTTCCCTTCGTAATTTCTTTATATTAGTAAGCACTGTACAGTTGCGGAAATGTGTTCCCACACCCCGTAGTAACCAATGTCTCCAAACGGCCAACCTATATGACCTATAGCAAACCTATCCACCAAATCACGTCCGTCATTACACGACCAATACCCAATCATTCATAAATAGTTATACTATTATTGCAATGTTGCCTTCAGAGACACAGGTTACCACAAGGGGTGTAAGAGCACATTTCCACAACTGTAAATGAGCCATATTTAACCTGACAATATCAGGGTTTGGCCAAAGAACCATCCATCTGCCAAATGGAGAGCTATTTTCAGTTTTGGTTGAAATGTTTTTCTCCAAAATCCCCAGCCTCGCCAAAAATAAAACCCAATGAGAATGTACTATGTTCAAGCCTGATCCCAAACACTGTACTACACACCAGTTAATTATGAATCTGTTAATTGCTGCCTCCCAACTAAACCCCTAAAATCAGCCATTCATAAACAAGCCAAAAATTCATCCCTGGTTAACCAAACTCCTTTAGCATGACAAGCTGAGTTACTATGGTGATTGAGTTACTTCATGACACCTGATGAGTGTTCACACCCAGGGTAAACATGGCTACAGCAAGAGATGACTGACTGTTAATGCGGTGACCAAGTTGTAACTGAGCAAGTGACTGTGAGGATGCAATAACCTGGCAACTCTGCTGTAAATGGAAACTCCAATCTGCAAGAGTTTTTTTTTAGGGTCTGGTTATAGGATAAGAATACAGATAATCTAATAAACACACTGTAGACACTATTCTTAGGATTGAATCTAGGCCTTATTTCCTTACACTGCTTGAATAAAAAAGGTCCCCATTATTGCCAAAATTAAAGTTATATCATTGACCCCATTTTTTTTTTTTGCTGAACCCCAGAAACACTTTTCTTTATAAATAAATACAGATTTTTAAAGGTAATTAATCAATACCTTGCACTTCTCCACCCCACACTAGCCACCAATGTTCCTCCAAAACCCCCAAACAGACGCTGATGATATAAGGACCAATGTTCTTCACATGTGGCGACAAGTTAATATTGTACATGTGGGTAAGATTCTCCATGCACCATCTTGCTCTTAACAAGGACATTTTACCTATATGGAGCTGGAGGATGTCGACTGTGAGGCTCGGAAGTTTGTTCACTGTCGTCGTGACCGTCGTAGTTGTAACCGCCTGCAAAACCAAATGTTTCTTAAATACTGTATTAGATTAAATTATTTCCAATTATACTTTTATAAATACACCAACTATCTACCTATCATTCCAAACTATTTTAGGCAGACATATGTGAAAAGTTTATCCTACTGCAAAGTCTCTTATCTTTATTTAATGTTTTGGTGGGAACAATGAGGGAGGCCACCACCTGACACATCAACAGCCCACTGAGGTAAATATCACACCATAACCTGTATGCATTTAATAGTTTCACTGTACATATTAAAAGCTTTACTCTGCATAACATTAAAAATACAGAAAAAAAAAGGTTCAGTAATCTAACTGCCTTGAACTGTACAGGCTAGAGCCGACCACAACACAGGCACCCTTACAGTACAGCGTAGTATGGGATAACTTCTATCATCTCTCTTCCAATATATCTTCATTTAACAAAAATAAACTACTGTATATTAATGTTTTTGTTCATCACTTATATACATATTAGAATACTGTAATATTTATAGACACAGGTAATGAGATATACAGTACCACTATCCCCTTCAACACACACTGTATGTAGCAAATAAAAATACTCACACCGAGCATGTTAGTACACTCCACCCCCTTATACTACCACCAGAAGCTCATTTGTACTCACCCCATTTCTGCAGCCAAATGTTCTTTTTCTGTAATATAGTAAAAAGTAGTTTGGTTAAAATATATATAAATCATTAAAGCTAGTCATATTTATACTGCATATATATGTGTATATATATATATATATATATATATACAGTCTACGCGGAAGGTTAAGGCACACCGTGGGGAAAAAATAAAAAAAACATGTTAAGGCAATAAAAAAATGAAAATAACACTCACAAACCCCTCTTAGTATTTTGTTGTGTTTCCCTTCCTCTTCAGTGTGGTGTGGTGGATGTAATCCTAGACAAGGTTCTTGAAACTCCAGGGCACGAGCAGTAGGTATATTCAATAAGTGGTACAAGGCTGGGCGTGATAGCCAACCGATACAGGAGCGGTTACTAGGGACCCCGGACCGTAGGTAGGCCGAGGCCGATCTGAGGGAAATTAGCTAGCCAGGCAAGGGGAGTTGCTAGACATTCCTAGGACAATAAATGAGGTCTTCTAATTACTCGACTAGCGCGGTACAGACATAGTACATCGGGACATAGTAAATGAACATAAGCATTAGACATAAGCATGGACATCAGACATGCTGTAATAATATGTAGTAATACAGACATGTGAATAAATGGTACAATGAATGGTAACAAGAGTCCTGGTGTCAGGCGTGTTCACATATCTTGGTATGTACATATCTATACACCTCCCTCCCCCTTTACGCTCGTAGTGCAATCTCGAGCGGCTACGGACTCTTTTTCCATGAGTCGGGGGGAGCGGCGAGGGACAATGGGAGGATCAACTGACGACCTTCGTTCCTGGTCTGGGCAAGGGGACACAGGGGACGGGGAGGAAGGTTCGTCACTAGAGGATGGCACTGGGCGGAGGTGGCGTCTGTTTCGCCACCACACACGACCACTGGGGAGGCGGACTTGGTACGAACGAGGCTCGCCACGGCCCATGACGACCCCGACCTTGTCCCAGCGGTGTGACGTCGGGTCCTGGATTCGTACTTGCTGGCCGACGGTCAACCTGGGAAGGGGGCGGGCGTGGGCGTCATAGTGGCTTGTCACTTGGGCCATCCGGGCAGCCTCACGGCGGTCACACTCGTCCGCCTTGATCTGCCATTCATCTAAGAAGGACTGGGGGTGGGCAGGCACACAAGTACGAAGGGGGCGGCCATACAACACCTGGGCAGGAGAGCGTCCGGCAGGGGTAGGGGTGTTACGGAGTTCCAGTAGGCCCCTGTCGAACTCCTCGCAGTCCAGGTTCCCCGTCGGTGCTGTCTTGAGGATGAGGTATTTTACGGACTTTACCGCTGCCTCGGCGTGGCCATTCGCCTGCGGGTAATGAGGGGAGGTGACGATGTGGTGGACGCCCCAGCGTTCGGCGAAGCTCTTGAACTCGTGGCTATTGAACGGGGGCCCACCGTCGGTTCGGAGGCGGAGAGGCACTCCGACTTCCCGGAAGAAGCAACAAAACATCCGGATGACCCTGGAAGAGGTGGTGTCCCGACCACAGGGAACTACCACGGGCCATCCAGAGAGCCTGTCGGCGACCACCAGGAAAGACTTTCCGGCCACATTAAAGAAGTCGGCGGACACGGACTCAAAGGGCCGCTTTGGGAGGTCGTTGCACAGGTACGGCTCTTGTTGCTGGCTGGGTTGGAGTTGCTGGCAAGGCTCACAGGCCTCAACCGTGCTCTTAATATCGGCGTCAATACCAGGCCAGAAGACGGTCTGACGGGCTCTGCGCCTGGTGGCTTCAACGCCGCGGTGGCTGTCATGGAGGCGGGATAAGGTGCGCCGGCGGAGGGCAGCGGGAACGACGATCCTGGGGCCGTACAACACCAGCTCTCCGTCCGCATAGAGGCTATCCCTTAGCTTCCAGAAGGGGAGGGCGGAGGCGTGAATGTCGTAGCGGTTGGTGGGGAATCCAGCGGAGACGTAGTCGAGGAGTTGGACGTATGCCGGGTCTTGAGCGGCGGCGATGCGAAGCTCCTGGAGAGTCCTATCGTCTTCGATGGAGGGCGTCGTCGTCGTCTTGTCAGCAAGAGAAGTGGCTGTGTGTGTCACTAAAGACCGAACGTGAGCAGCGGCCGTGGTACAGTCGACTTCATCTTCGGGTGTGGGGCGACTAACAGGGGCTCGGGAGAGGGCGTCTGGTATGCACAGAAGCTTCCCGGCGCGCCACACAGCTGTAAAGACGTAAGGGGCGGTCTTCTCTTTGAGACGTTGGAGGCGAGGATTTTCGATGGCGTCCAACGTGTAGTGATTAAGAATGGGTATGAGCGGGCGATGGTCCGTCATGAGGGTGAAATGCCCAAGGCCGAACAGGTAAAGGCGGCACTTGGCCATAGCCCAGGCGACTGCCAGCATCTCTAGTTCAATGGTGGCGTATCTGGTCTCCGTATCCGTCAAAAACCTGGAGCCACACTGAACTAAGCACAGTCTACCCTGGCCGTGGTCTTGAAGGAGGGCATATCCGAGGCCGTATAGACGGGAGGCGTCGGTCTGGAGGACCACTGGTAAGGACGGGTCGAAGGGTGCCAGGACTGGTGGTGACAGCAACGCCTTCTTAACATTCCTGAACGCTAGGTCGTGGTCAGGAGTCCAGAGGAAGGAGCGCTTGGGGCTCATGAGGGGGCGTAGAGGTTGGGCTGATGTGGCGATTTTAGGGGAGAAGTCGGCCAGCTGATTTACCAGGCCCATAAATGAGCGAAGGTCGGTCAGGTTCGCTGGAGTAGGGAAGTCCCTGATGGCCTTGACCTTCTCCTCATCAGCTGAGATCCCCTCTGGCGAGATGTTGTAGCCGCAGTAGTTAACTTGGGGGGCGGCGACCACAAATTTATCTTTGTTCAGGGTGATACCATGGGCACGACATCTTGTGAGCATCAGATGAACTCGGTTCAAGTGGGCCGGGAGATCATCGTCGAAGAGCAGGATGTCATCTACGACCTTCACGCAGTTGGTGACACCCTGCAGAGCCATATCCCCACGGAGGCAGTACGCATCCCCCGTTGCTGCGAAGCCCATGGGTCCGCGGCAGTGTTGGAAGCGGCCGTAGGGCGTGATGAATGTAGTGAGGTGGCGATCTTCTTCCGCCAGGTCGACTTGCCAGTACCCATGTAGTGCATCCGCCGTGGTAAAGAACTTTGCAGACGGGGTGACGCTGCGGACTGCTTGGATGGGCGTAGGCGATGGATGGGCGGGACGGGAGACCTGCGAGTTGAGATGGGTGAGGTCCACTGTGATGCGAACACCTACAGGCTTGGGTGCCAAGACCATAGGGTGGCACCACTCGGAGGGCTCCTCACCGGCGTGTCTGATGATCCCCTGCTGCACCAGAGAATCGAGCTCTGCCTTCACCTTGTCCCGTATGGCAAAGGGGATAGGCCTGGGTGTGTGGATGGCGAAAGGCGTCGCGCCAGGCTTGAGGTGGATTCTCATCGGGGGGCCTGTCATCTTCTTGAGCGGCGTCTTCTGGAGGTCGGGCTTGGAGACAAGGACGTCGCTGAACTGACGAAAAAAGAACTCCCGGGCGGCAGCAGGTGTGGTCATGGCTGAAACAGGTATCTCTGCACACCTGTTGAGGTGTGTCACAGCGAGGATGGGCTTTGGGAACTCGGATGAGACGATGGCCAAGTCCTGACAATGGCCACATGACAAGAGAGGGGTTTGGATGCCCTCATGGACGTGGACTGTGGCAAGGCAAGACTTGGGACCGAGCTGTAGTGTTGCCTTGAAGCAACCCAAAGGTGGAGACATCGGGGACCCGTCCGCTGTGAGCACGTCGTTCATGGCTGTGGGTGACAGGCTACTCCTGGGGATGTTGAGGGCGTCCAGGTGTGTTGGTCCAATCACCGTGATGTCCGCGCCCGTGTCAGGTATCATCAGGAGGTTGGAAGAGTTGGTACCGTAGGACAGACGAACATTGACGGGCTTGGGGGACCTGTCACTCGAGGTATCATCCACGCGTCGGCATCCTTTGTTATTCTTGGGAGACGGTGGTGTGGACGTTCTGTCGGGCTGTGAAGAGACGTTTTGACCTGGAGATGGAGGCTTCTTGGTGGACCTGCAACACTTGGCGAAGTGTCCTTGCTTGTTGCAAGCGTTGCATGAGGCCTTGTTGGCAGGACATCGAGGTGTGCGGGGCCAATGGCCTTGAAACCCACAGTTTCGACATGTACTATCAGCCGCAGGGCACTTTCCTGGACCATGCTGGTGCTGACAGTTTCTGCAGGATTCGGGAGAAGAAACTGGTGACTGTGACGGGGGCTGTGGAGAGGACGTCGTCTGCATCTGGCGTTGATTCCTCTTGTAGGTGGAGACGGCGTGGACTTGAGATGGCGATGAGTGTATAGCTGAGGCAGCCTCTCTTGTGGCCTCATACGACCTGCAACAGGTGACGAAGTCGGTGAGGGAAGAGGCGGCGTCGAGGGTGAGGAGTTTCTGAAGCAGGTCCTCGTCACGTACACCCATCAGCAAGATCATCTTGAGCTGGATCTCAGCACAGGTTACAGGATTGCCTGTACATAGGTCCACCTCGGCTGTTAGGTCCTTAAGTCGTGCATAGAAGTCTGAGAATGATTCCCCAGAAGCTTGTTTGCAGGATAGCAGTTCCCTACGACGCAAAGCTTCATTGCGGAGGCCACGGAAATGACTCTGCAAGGCGTTTAAAACCTCTGTCACTGACCTGGGGGAGTCAGGGGGGATGGCTAGCGTGTGCTCTAGGAGGCGTTGAACATCGAGGGAAATGCACGATCTTAATTGGATGAGTTGTTTATGAGGGGGCATTCGGTAGAGGTCAGACATAACAGCAAAGTCTTCGAAACGACGTCGCCATTGACGGTATACTTGATATGTTGCGTCAGATTGAAGAGGTGGGGGACTGGGAACTGAAGACTTGCTGTGCAGGGGTGCACTCGAGACGGCAGGCGGTGGAGGAGGCACGGAGAGGTCGACGAGAGTTGAGACTGGAACGGGTGGTTGAGAAGACACTGAGGCATACCTAGGGGAGATAGGTGACGTGTGAGGAGGCGTTGTCT